CAAAACACCATGGGACCACAGATGGGAAAACTGGGTAAAATGGGGCCATTTAAAAAATTTTCTCTCTCTGCTGTTTGCTTGTCAGAGACGACCAGAACCCCTTTAACAACCCCAAGTGTAAAACACACTTCTCTGGTGGCTCAGATGGTAAAGGGTCCACCAGCAACGTGGGAGAGCTGGGTTAGATCCCTGGGCTGGGAAGATCCCCTGGAGGAGGAAATGGCAACCCACTCCAGTACTCTTGCCTGGAGAATTCCATGGACAGAGGAGCCTGGCAGGCTGCAGTCCACGGGGTTGCAGAGTCAGACACGACTGAGTGACTAACTCACTTTTTCACTTGTGTAAAGCACACACTGGATCCCACTGTGGTGAGCGATTTGATGGACAGTGTCATATCCCCCAGTGAAATTAGACAAGCAGTTGGACTTGACAAGTAGCATAAAATAACATAAAGAGCTTCCCTAGACATTGCCAGAAGCCTGAGGTGGTTATTAGAAAATGGTAACCGCCTCTGATTGTCTGCCTACAGTCTCTTCATCACCAGGAGACGGCTACGGCAGAACCCAGCCAAAGCAATCACAGCTCCCTTAGGAAGCATTCACCATTCACAGCGAGCTCTTGCTAACATCCCCGCTGTTTGCAAAGTGGCTAGACGGGGATGTGACAGCAATTCCTGTCATCAGTTAAGAAGGAACTGCCCAACGGGATTTTAACTTTTAACTGGATTTCAGCCATGCTGTTTCCTTTGGTTACCTATCAGCTGAAACTTCTCTGGCAGCCAAGCTCCAGTGCATTTCGTTTCCATGGTCATTGGAGCAGTACAAAGGGAGAAAACTGGAAAGGGGTCAGGACACCCCAGCTCTATCCCTAATCAGCTGCAAGGCCTGTGGCCTGGCCAAGTTGCTTTTTTTCCCCTTTAATCATAAAATAGAATAATATAAAACCTACCTCACAGGGTTACAGTCATTGGAGAGAACAGATGAGCAAAATGTTGCAGAAAATATATTCATATATTATATTAATACTGAAGTATATGTGTTTATATACATGTTTTTAAATGCATACAAGTGAGGTATAGATGTGACAAGTCCCTGGACATAGACCATTTGGATATTTAAGCAAAAAAATGCCTTCCTTGATCCTAAGGAAAAAGATAATTGTCCAAATTGTTCAGACCATTTTTCTTCTCCAAGTCCTAGTCATGGGATCTATACAAAGACTGACTTTCATGATTGCTGGCAAACAAAATATTTTGAGGAAAAAATAATAATAGCTACTAATTACTAAACATTTACTATATGCTGGCCAATCTATGAAGCTCTTTACAAATATGACTTCACTTCCTCTTTATTATGATCCCATGAAACATGTATCATTTAATAATATTATACATTATGCCTAAGTTTAGGAAGAAATTCATTGTTAGAACTAGTATTTAAATTCAGGTCTGTCTGACTTCAGGGCCCTTGGTTTTAGTCAGAGCCATGTCAGTTCTGAGAAGGAAATCAAGTTTCTCTTTTGCCCCAGCTTTTTGCAGTTGCTATTAAAGTTGGGCCACGTGATCCGGCTGGTTGGAGCGCCCTTTGTATTAGAGCTGAAGGTTCCTGGAGGCCCACACGGAGGCCCATAGAAAGGGGGTGGTGTGAGCGAGTGTTCTAAAAGGAAAGGGCAGAGAAGCTTCATGAGAAAGCACCTGTGGAGTTCACACTCATATCTAGAATGCTGCATTTCTTGGGTAAATGCCACACAGGTTTGCATTTAGACAGAACAGGAAAAAGTCCCAGAAACACACACACACAATTAACCTGCACCAAAGGAGGCAAGACTATAGCGTGGGGGAAAGACAGCCTCTTTAATAAGTGGTGTTGCTAAAACTGGACAGCTACATGCAAAAGAATGAAACTGGACTACTTTTTCACAGCATATACAAAAATGAATTCAAAATGGATTACAGACAATTATAAGAATTGACTATAAAACTCCAAGGAGAAAACATAGGCAGTATTCTCTTTGACAATGGACTTAGCAATATTTTTTTGGATCTGTCTCTTCAGACAAGGGGGAAACAAAAGCCAAAATAAACAAATAGTATTATATCAAACTAAAAAAATCTGTTGCTTAGCAAAGGAAAGCATCAGCAAAATGAAAAAGCCTCCTACTGAGTGGGAGAAGATATTTGGAAACAATTGTGTCCAATATGGGGTTAATTATAAAATTAAAATGCAGCCTATGGAAAAATATTCACCAATTAAATATCTCATACAAGGTTAATATCTAAAATATTAATATAAAAATAATTCATACAACTCAATAGCAAAAGAATAACCTGATAAAACATGGGCAGGTTATCTAAATAAACATTTTTCCAAAGAAAACATACAGATGGCCAACAGACACATGAAAATATTCTCAGCATCATGAACATCAGGGAAATGCAAATCAAAGCCACTTTGAGATATCATCTCACATCTGTCAGAACAGCTGTTAAAAGATAACAAGTGTTGATGAGGATGTGGAAAAAAGGGAAATCTTCAACACTGTTGGTAGGATTGTTAATTGGTACAGCCTCTATGGAAAACAGTATGGAGGTTCTTCAAGAAATTAAAACTAGAACTACCACATGACCCAGCAATTTCACTCCTGGGTATTTACCTAAAGAAAACAAAAACACTAATTCAAAAAGACATATGCACCCCTGTGTTCATTACAGCATTACCCACCAATGTGAAAGTGAAAGTTGCTCAATCATATCTGGCTCTTCGTAACCCCATGGACTGTATAGTCCATGGTATCCTCCAGGCCAGAGTACTGGAGTGGGTAGCCGTTCACTTCTCCAGGGGATCTTCACAACCCAAGGATAGAACCCAGGTCTCCTGCATTGCAGGCAAATTCTTTACCTTGTGAGCCACCAGGGAAGCCCAAGAATACTAGAGTGGGTAACCTGTCCCTTCTCCAGCAGATCTTCCCAACCCAGGAATCAAACCAGGGTCTCCTGCATTTCAGGTGGATTCTTTACCATCTGAGCTACCACAGCATTATTTACCAATAGATGAATGGATAAAGAAGATGTGGATCTATATGTATATATATATACTTATATACATATACACAGAGAAATATTACTCAGCTATGAAAAAAGAAATCTTGCCATTTACAACAATGAGGATGGATCTATAAGGTATTATGGTAAGAGAAATGTTAGAGAAAGACAAATGCCCAATGATCTCAGTTATATGTGAAATCTAACAAACCAAATGAAACGAAAACAGACACATAGATTCAGAGAACAAATGGGTAGTTGTCAGAGGGGAAGGAATAGAGGTTGGGCAAAATAAGCATAGGTGAAGAGAATTAAGAGGTACAAATTTCTAATTATAAATAAGCCATAGCGATGTAATATACATAATGGGGAACATTGTCCATAGTACTATGATAACTTTGTATGAATACAGATGATTACTAGAATTACCATGCTGATTATTTCATAATCGTTTAAAACATAGCATCACTATGCTGTACACCTGAAACTAGCATTATATTATACACCATCTATATTTCAATATATAAACTAATATTTTTTAAAAGAGCAGGAAAGAACTTTTTCTATCATCGCTGGTCATTCTCATTTAGACCAAAACTGTCCCTCAGATGTGGCAATGAGCTGTTCAGGAATTTTATTCAACTAAGATTAATTCAGTTTGGATGTCTAATAGGTTTTTGTGTCCCATATCCCACCAGTTACCTCAGATAGTTTCTTTGGAGTTAAATACATTCCAAATATGTATCCCAATTTTATCTTCAAAAGTAGTATTAACTCAGGAAAAGTTTCTATCTTTCCCAATAATGCTTGAACCCTGAACCATATAACATGTTAGCCTAATTATTAGATTTTATTTTAAAACTCCAATGGAGAAAGGTTGGCCAATAGAATTTCAGAATTGAGAGTAGGAATAGCTATATAGCTGATTTTGAGTTCTTATAGAATGGAAAGCATAGTGCCATACCTCTTATACAGATTATTTCATATAAACCTTACAGTATCCCTGTGAGGTAAACACTGTTAGGATTTTCATCTTCAAACAAGACTAGATTTTTCATTAATATTTCTTAGGATCCAAATGGCCACCCAAATGACAAAGCGGTAAAGTTGGGACAAGAGTAACAGAACATTTTAGCATATTCCCTGCAACCTCCCCACTTCTCCAGTGTTCTCCCAAACACCTTATTCAGTCAACCAAGGTGGTTCAAAATAATTTTATTTGTCCTACTGCTTCCCTGACATGGATTGGTTACTAGATATATCCCCAAAAATTATCCGGCTGGGAGGGGGGGGACAGTAAAACCATAAAGAGACAATTAAAGACATTTAACTGTTTAAAGGACCTGAGAATTAACTATGACTTCAAGAAAACAGTATATGCAAATTATGAAATTGTGAAAGTTAAATATCCAATGGAGAACTGCCAGACTAGCCCCATGAACAGACTCTTCCATGTAATTCAATGGAAATGGTTCCACTAGACTTATGCAATAGAAGAGGAGAAAAAGATATATGTTGAGAAATGTAGGATCAGGAGAGTTAGGCCAATATAATGAGGAGCTTTGGTTGGTATACACCCTTTGGCCAGCTCCCTCCCTCCAAGAGAAGGTCACAGCTGAGAGATGTCTTAGGGAGACTCGAGACTGCCTGGGGCAATGGAGTTAGTACAGAGAGACATTTATAGGATGACAGTGACAAGTGGTTGTTGAACAAATCCAGCTCTAAAATATACCCAATGACTTACATCATCTTTGGAGTTTCCAACTTAATATTTTCTTATCCAGAGTCTAACCACAGAAAAACTGGATCTCAAAATCTCCCTAAAGGGAAAATACTTAGGAAGGCATTATATAGTAGGTCCTTGTTTCTACTTTTGTTGTTGTTGCTGTTGACGTTATTAGTTATGTTTTACAATATATCTTCTTTAATGGAGACACAACGGATAAGTTCTTCAACTCACCAGTTCTTGGAAGCATGAATTTGCAACAGTGGTGAAAGGGTATCTCTTTAGTGCTGAGGTCAGGGGTAAAATAAGTGCTTTTTCTCACTGATCCACCAGCATCCAGAGTTCCCCTCTAAAACCTGTGAAGATGAGACACTTATATTAATACAAAAACAAATGCAAAGAATCAGGGTCTCCTTTTATACATAGTTGTAGCAACAATATACATAGACAAAACTCTTGGGCTTGTGAAACAATGCTACAGAAAAAGTAAGAGAAAGAAAAGAAAAGGGAGAAGAGGGAGAGGAGAGGAGAAGGGAAGGGAAGAGCTCTTAGATACATACAAGAGATGAAAAGACTTCATTTGTTTTATGTCTTTTAGGATCATGAACTTATCTGTATTATATGCATTATATCTTTATTATAACCCTGGAGGTAATTTGAATCACCCTCAAGTTTCAGAAAAAGAAAGCAGTGCTCAAAGAAGTAAAGTAGGTTATGCTACTAAAAAGCATCAACCCCAGGATTTGATCCTAGGTTTCCATGGTTTTAAAAATATTCATTCTCTTTTATTTTATCTCATTACCTTTCTTTCCAAGAGAATGCTTCTTTGAGGTACACTTTCAATTCTGTCAGTGCAGATAGCATATATCTGCTGGCAAGAAGACAGAAGTCTTCACTGATTCAAAATGAGGTTATTCTTCCTCTCATCAAAAGAGAGACTGAATGTAGGAGAAAGAAGAGGCAAGTGTTCATAAATCTTGTGATTTGGCCTAAACACAGGAGATATTTCCTAATCCCCACTTCCTAAGCCCCTTTATCACCTGGACGGTGTGCACAGTAGAGAAATACATTGAATATGGTATACTTCCGCTCGATAACTAGAATGTAAGAGTTCCATCTTCCAATTTCAGCTAGTTTAAACCCATGAACAGCATGAAAAGGCAAAAAGATAGGACACTGAAAGATGAACTCCCCAGGTCAGTAGGTGCTCAATATGCTCCAGATCAGTGGAGAAATAACTCTGGAAAGAATGAAGAGACAGAGCCAAAGGAAAAACACCACCTGGTTGTGGATGGGACTGGTGATAGAAGCAAGGTCTGATGCTGTGAAGACCAATATTGCATAGGAACTTGGGATGTTAGGTCCATAAATCAAGGCAAATTGGAAGCGGTCAAACAGGAGATGGCAAGAGTGAATGTCGACATTTTAGGAATCAGGAAACTAAAATGGACTGGAATGGGTGAATTTAACTCAGATAACCATTATATCTACTACTGTGGGCAAGAATCCCTTAGAAGAAATGGAATAGTCATCATACTCAACAAAAGAGTCCAAAATGCAGTACTTGGATGCAATCTCAAAAACAACAGAATGATCTCTGCTCATTTCCAAGGCAAACCATTCAATATCACAGTAATCCAAGTCTATGCCCCGACCAGTAATGCTGAAGAAGCTGAAGCTGAATGGTTCTATGAAGACCTATAAGCCCTTCCAGAACTAACACACAAAAAAGACGTCTTTTTCATTATAGGGGACTGGAATGCAAAAGTAGGAAGTCAAGAAATACCTAGAGTAACAGGCAAATTTGGCCTTGGAGTATGGAATGAAGTAGGGCAAAGGATAATAGAGATTTGCAAAGAGAATGCACTGGTTATAACAAACACCCTCTTCCAACAACACAAGAGAAGACTCTACACATGGACATCACCAGATGGTCAACACTGAAATCAGATTGACTATATTCTTTGCAGCCAAAGATGGAGAAGCTCTGTACAGTCAGCAAAAACAAGACCGGGAGTTGACTATGGCTCAGATCATGAATTCCTTATTGCCAAATTCAGACTGAAATTGAAGAAAATAGAGAAAACCACTAGACCATTCAGGTGTGACTTAAATCAAATCCCTTATGACTATACAGTGGAAGTGAGAAATAGATTTAAGGGACTAGATCTGATAGACAGAGAGNAGTACGTGAACCATGAACTTCCAGATGTTCAAGCTGGATTTAGAAAAGGCACAGGAACCGGAGATCAAATTGCCAACATCCATTGGATCATCAAAAAAGCTAGAGAGTTCCAGAAAAACATCTACTTCTGCTTTATTGACTATGCCAAAGCCTTTGACTATGTGGATCACAATAAACTGTGGAAAATTCTTCAAGAAATGGGAATACCAGACAACCTGACCTGCCTCCTGAGAAATCTGTATGCAGGTAAAGAAGCAACAGTTAGAACTGTACATGGAACAACAGACTGGTTCCAAATCAGGAAAGGAGTACGTCAAGACTGTGTCTTGTCACCCTGCTTATTTAACACATATGCAGAGTACGTCATGAGAAACGCTGGGCTGGATGAAGCACAAGCTGGAATCAAGATTGCCAGGAAAAATATCAGTAACCTCAAATATGCAGATGACACCACCCTTATGGCAGAAAGCAAAAAAGAACTAAAGAGCCTCTTGGTGAAAGTAAAAGAGCAGAGTGAAAAAGTCACTTTAAAACTCAGCATTCAGAAAACTAAGATCATGGCATCTGGTCCCATCACTTCATGGCTAATAGATGGGGAAACAATGGAAACAGTGACAGACTTTATTTTCGGCACTCCAAAATCACTGCAGATAGTGACTATGGCCGTGAAATTAAAAGATGCCTGCTCCTTGGAAGAAGAGTTATGACCAACCTAGACAGCACATTAGAAAGCAGAGACATTACTTTGCCAACAAAGGTCCATCTAGTCAAAGCTATGGTTTTTCCAGTAGTCATGTATGGATGTGAGAGTTGCACTAGAAAGAAAACTGAGCACCGAAGAATGGATGCTTTTGAACCATGGTGTTGGAGAAGATTCTTGAGAGTCTCTTGGACTGCAAGGAGATCCAACCAGTCCATCCTAAAGGAGATCATTCCTGGGTGTTCACTGGAAGGACTGATGCTGAAGCTGAAACTCCAAGACTTTGGCCACCTGATGCGAAGAACTGACTCATTTGAAAAGACCCTGATGCTGGGAAGGATTGAGGCAGGAGGAGAAGGGGATGACAGAGGATGAGATGTTTGGATGGCATCACTGACTCAATGGACATGAGTTTGAGCAAGCTCCGGGAACTGGGGATGGACAGGGTGGCCTAGCATGCTGCAGTCCGTGGGGTCGCAAAGAGTCAGACACGACTGAGCGACTGAACTGAACTGAACTTAAACCTATGCTCCAAATCCTCTTGCCTTTTTCCTCTCTTGAAGCAACTGTCTATACACAGTCAAGTCTTTATCACAACCTTAGCTGTTCTTTTAGAGGATAGGGGGACAGTCCAGTGGTTAAGTCCATGGGGTTTGGGATCATGTCTAGGTTTAAATTCAGGCTCCATCATGGATGTGGCCCTGGGGCAAATCGTTTTACTTCTTTGATCTTTCTGTGGTTTCTCAATCTCTAAAACAGGGATAATAACATCTCATGGAGTTGCTATTAAAAATTTTAAATGATGTGCACAATGTTCTTAGCACGGTGCCTAAGACATAGACAGTCAGCATATTTTTCTTGAATCATTACTCTGATCTAACTCAGTAAGCTGTCAAGGAGACAAATTATAGTACTTTGAAGTAGGTTTAAGGTGTAGGGAATTATTCTGATGGCTTCCATTTGCCACAGGGAAATTTATCTGGAGGAAAAGAAGCTGTTCAAAATACTTCCTCAAGAGACTTTTCTTAAAAGACCTGAAATATTTAGATTGTCCCAATTTTTTTTCCTATGTCTGTAGTGCAAACAAAATTGCATCCTATTAAATATTTAGTATTTAATATAGCCAACAAATTAATTTTAGGTCTGATTTTGTGATATTGCAGTATGGTATTATATTTGTGTGTGTGTGTGTATAATATATAGTATTTGATGAATGTGCATGGTGATTTATGAGATTGTAAAGAGCTTTAACCACAATTTTGAGCAATTTACATCATAGTAGAATTTTTTAGTGTTGTATCCTCACATTTACAGCATATGAAGGTGAACATGTTAGTCGCTCAGTCGTGTCTGACTCTTTGCGACCCCATGGACTGTAGCCTGCCAGGCTGTCCACGGGATTCTCCAGGCAAGAATACTGGAGTGGGCTGCATTCCCTTCTCCAAGGGATCTTCCCGATTCAGGGATCAAACCCCAGTCTCCTGCATTGCAGGGAGATTCTTGATGGCTGAGTCTATATGGTTTATTTAACACCAATATCCTTGGTTATTCAAGGATAACATTAGTCTTTAAATGATCTACTTTTGACCTGAACTCTAGGAAAGAGCAGGGACAACCTGTGTATTTTACTACTTCCTCCATCAAAACCACAACTCCCACCAGTACCCAACAATGACCGATTCTCCAACCTATTGTACTTCTTAAGCATTGACAGTTAGGGAAAAAAATTGACTGATTTAATGCAGCTAATTTATTTATATATTTGCTAAGATAGTATGGTGTATTACCATTACTAATAATAAATACCTTTGCAAAAAGCAAGCCACAGATTGCTTTGGATTCAAAAGCCCGTTTCCACCATTAATTAGCAGTGAGGAGTTCAATAAATTAACCAGCTCAAGCCTCAATTTCTACATCTACCAAATCTAAACAGATTCAATACAGTGGCTACATATTATATTAGACTACATATTTTGATTAAATAGTGTTGTGTTCTACCTATAATAAACACTCGACAGCTGATAGCTACTCTGTGCTAGAATACAAACAATTTATTTTCAACTTAACAATTCTCCTATTTTCCTTTTCTCTTTTTGCAAAATATACATATTTTTTCCTTTCCACTCTTGATCCTACAGTATTATCTGTGTTTGTAAAATCTCCTTAAATCCTTTGTGGAATTAGACTAGGTATTAAGAAAAATGCACACACACAAGTAAATCAATAACATTTTTCTTGTTCTTCAAAAAAAAAAAAAACTTTCTAAATTGAGTATTGATCATGTGATTTCAAGATCAGGTGATTTTTCTGCACAGTAGCAGATGATTTGGTGTTTTCTAACTTGAATATAAAGTGGTATTTTCAGGACAGGGCCAGGAGGGAGGTATGAAGACCTTAATGAAGCAAATTCAAGCATCTTTGCCTTCAAGCCTCTTTTCTCAGCCAATAAAGGAAATGCGGGTTAAAATTTT